GAAAAAGTTCTGTGATCAAATATTCTTTCCTTGAATTTTTTGAAAAATATTTTTACTTCTTAAACCACTTCATTTACCAATCAATCCTAAGACGCGTTTCAATTTTTATTTTGGTTCGTTAAGCGCATACACGAAACGAGACAGATTTAGCATACCTCGGCGTTTGTTTAACCTTAGTGTGGTGTGTCATCTTAATAAATACTGATTTGCCAAGTGTCAACAAAGCTTCTTAAGATTTCCACTGTTATTGTATTAATAGTTACGTGTAGGTACAAATATTGTCTAAATTGTCATTGCAAACATTCTTCAAAATTGACTGTGTGTTCAATGCAATATGTTCGTCGCTGTATAGATACATTCTACAAGCGTCAGTTTCTATATTAAACTTTATTGGGACTTTGGGTTAGAATCATACACACCTACACATATATTATAAATTATGATAGAAAAATACGAAATGCTGCATGGTGGATCCCACCCCGGATGTATAAATAATACACTTTGACCCTTAAACTTATGGAACGTTCAAACAGTTGAATGACTCATCTCAAATTTAACCTTAYTAAGTGAACAGATGGATAAACTTTTTATTATACTTTCATTTAATATTTTATATTCATTTATCAATATATAAATGAATAGGTACTGCTGTTTTTTTCTTCAACGAAAGTTACCGAAGTTAAAAGATATAATGAAGTTGTATTGTTTTCTGCTTTTGTTGAAGGCAACTTACTATTGTTTACCTTTCAGACTCTGCGTACGAATACGCTGTGCCCGAGACCGGAACTATGCCATTACTCACAAGTTCACCACCGCCACCACCTCCCCCGTCAGCTCCTCCAGTGGCTCCTGTCACGACCGACACGTTTGCCAGGAACAAAATGTATCCCACGGACGAAAGCAGAAGTAGTAAAAAAGTAAGTTTTAACATATGTTTTCATAAGAGTGCCAACTCCGTGTACATAAATCCACAAGTGTTCTTGACTTGAAGCATCTCAAAAACAGTGCCGACACCAACGTCCACTTGGGAATAAATAATAAAACCGATCACAATTTATGAGCCCGACGCAAGCATGCGTGTAACKCAATAACTAACAATTTATCGATTTGTCTTTATTTTATGAATTTCCAAGCATCATAAATAAATTATATTTGTTCCACTTTGTTCACGATGAACACATGCACATTCTAAGTAGGTGCTTTGATTAAATAATACGGGGTATAAAATTGTCTGAAGTTAAAATTAAGTCCGTTATTCATTTTTAATCCCGTAATCATGGGGAACGCAGTCGATTCGTTCATTTATATTTTATACAATTATGGGGGATAATTTTTCATTAAATTACATTTATGATGGTATCGGAAAAATATAACATATTGATGAAAGTGATTTGTACTTAAGCTTTTCTACGGTATATAATATTATTATTAACTATAATTACTACATTATTACTAGTATTTATGTTTCACCATTATTATTATTTTTAAATCATACTGTAATATATTTCATATTTTAGGTAACGAAGGAAATACTTGGAATAAATATCTGTTCTTTATACACGTCGACTTACAATTATATATTTAATAATAGGTTCACAAAATCTATAATTTTATTCAAATAATTCTACTCCCCTTCGTTTTCTTTTTACTCGGGTTATCACGAGCATCAAATATTCTACTTCTACCTACCATTATTTATTATTAATCTTGTTTTACTAATTAACAGTATATCATTAAAACTGAAGGTATCATATTTCAGTTATATTTATTCATACAAATATATACATAATATTATAGTGTATATARGTACATCATTTCCAAACAAAACCGAACATGGTGTATTATATTTATGTTATTTTGTAGTGAAAAAATATCTATTTATATTTTAAAATGTTAGGAACGCTAAAATGAATAGTAAAAATTGCACAGAAGAAAAGATGGAATATAAACAGAAAACAAAATAATGGCACTGTGAGAACCACGAAAGGATTAATKTATTGTGCTGTGTGCTCGGTAGTAATTTTGTCGATCGTTGGTGTAATATAATTATTATTATAACATTGAAACGGTTAGGTTAGGTTTTAATCAAATGAATAAAATTAAAGGTAGGTATATAGAATAAAAAAAAAAAAAAATGGACATTTTATAGGATTTTAAGAGATAGGGTAAGAAATAAATGAGGTGTTGCTTTCCTCACTCTGCCGACCGTGCGCGTGTAATCGTCGTACAACGTCCATCACCCCGCAGTCTTCGAATATAATTTCGCCGGGAAATGATTTATACTGCTGCGGACTCGGCGAGCACAAAAACACGCTGCTCCTCTCGTTCCTCGCGTCACTTCACATCACCCGTGATCTCCTTCCCACTCACCCTTACCGTGTGTCGTTTCAATATGAAAAGATTATGAATAATGGTCCGACCACGACTTGTCATGTTTCCTTGAATAGYGCCCGTTCGCCAGTGAGTGTTTGTGTGTATCTTGCCCGTTGACTTCTCTTACATAGTATTGTACCTACCTATATTTACCTCCACCGAGTGATTGATACAAATAGCTGTTGTGCAGTGTGTTTAGTGATATTACAGGTACATATAGTATTATGCTCACAATAGCGTTTGTACGTTTTTGGGCATATACGTTTTCCGAACACAATGCCATTACCTATAGACACAATGTACCCGGTCCGCTAAATATGTTTACAACACACCAAATACATAACAATATATACCTACGTATAGTGATATCGTCTGTCGTGTGAAAACGTCATCTGTGCGGACCACCTCGCTTCCATATATTATATTGTCGCAATCTATTACTTACAAATTACAATAGCCGGTGCCCGTTTGTGTAGTATAACATGATATCATGATATGGGTATA